TTGTTTCTATATTTTCTGTTATGTAGTGATCAATATTTTCAATATTCTCTTCTGATTCACCAAATATTGTTTTGTCATTTGATTTCCATTTTCTTATGATAAAACCTGAATGTGATAAAATTTCTGAAACTTCTTTTTTCAACTTAAACGCCTTCACGAGTTTCTGAACCTGATAAATAATCATCAACATAAAAATCTTGTATGACTGAATGACTAGATTCTGGATATTTCTGTTCAAAATCTATTGCTGCTTGATGTAAGCATCTAATGGCCAAAAATCTAGCTGACGCAGTACCATATGTGATAGTGTTTTTTAGGCAAAAATGTTGCAGTTCTTGTTGATGTGATGACCTCCAAACGATTCTTTACAAGTCACGTTGTGCTGTATCTAACCAAACCATCCTGTACATCGTAGCAACATCAGCACCCAAGACATAATTATGTTTGTTTAATTAAAATTGAATATAGGCCATCCTGTATTATAGGACCTATTTTCAATTTGGAATTAAGACTCACACCTGTATTAGTTTTACAACTGGCATCTAATACTACTCTCAACTTACATGTGGTGCTAGTATCCTTGACAACTGGGTGATGGGGTAGATAATAAATCAAATTTTTGCCTAAAATTTCATGTTCTGGAATTGGACTAATATGTTCTTGTTTTTCATAAATATCCATAAATCCTGTATAAAGTTTTCTGGTTTCCAAGTTATTTTGCAATTTTCTTTCGAGATTATGAAAACGCTTTATGGCTATGTCTTTGTTTTCTCCGAGTTCATTTATGCTTTCTTTTACAGGTAATGTAACTGAAAAATGTCCTTTAGCACGTTGTAGTGCTCTTGAACAAATGTTCGCATTCCTGCTCTTCATGAGTACATTTTCTTGTGAATGGTGGCTTCAATCATCCAGAATCTTTCCATTTGGGCATTTATGTCCGTGTCGACAATTTCTGAATATGAATGAAGTGCTGTGTGTGTGTAAACGGCATCTGTCCTTAATTTAGGTTTGTGATTGTGGATTTTAGAAAACTCATATTTTCCTGTGATAATCCATCCAAGCTTTGTTTCAATCAAATAGGGCTGCGTTGTTTCTAATTTCATCTTATTTTCACACATTAATTCATAATAAATATCCACTCCCAACAACATATCAATGTTGCCTGGCTTGTAAAAGTTTTCATCTGCCAATTTTAAACCTTCTGGAATTAAAAACTTATTGGAGCTAAGTATGATATAGGAAGCTCTCCTGTGATTTTATTTAAAAGATAAAATTTAAGATTTGTTTGAAATTAATTATACAAAGATCTTACGGTTCCCAGAGTCATTCTGTTAGAACAAGATACTGTTGCACTGACGCCATGAATTGACATATTGATAGTCTGTGTTTGAAGGTTTAATTTATGACAAAACTCACTGGTTATGAAATTTGTCATTGAACCTGGGTCTAGAGCTCGAACAACATGAGGTTTGTTATCAGTATTGAGAATTATAACATTAGCTGTAGCTAATAAACAAGTAACATCATTCCTATGGCATGAATTTAAAGACACTAATTTAGAATCAGAATTTGTTGAATTTTCGTTTTGCATATTAGTTGATGATGAATTTGAGTTTGTGAATCGATCAGAGTCCTTATTCTTGAAACAGGGGAGCAGCGTTCCCAGGAGAACGAGTATTCCGTCTTTGTTCCTTATATATTATCATTTTCATATCATTGAGAAAGACGGAACACTCGTTCTCCTGGGAACACTGCTGAACAATGTGTTTTGTGATTGTACGTGCATTGTCCGTGTTTGATTTTGAGAATTTGTGTTAGGTGTATTTGAATTATTCTGTTCATTACTACTGAGTGTATTGTTTAATTCGAATTTCACATTTTGAGTGTTCTGATTTCTGCTTGGGTTCAAATGTAATAATGTGTGGCACTCACGCCTTGTCACATTGTCCAATTTTGCACTAAGAATGAAAATCAGCAAGGAATCCCAAGCATCTATTGGTTCTTTGAGAGAATTTAATGCTTTTTTTTTAAAGATAAAAGTCAAAATGACATTATGTTGGCAATACAATGTAAAATTGTCAAGCTTCCAAATTTTTTATGTAGAAAAGGCTTGTGTTGCCAACATAGTTACTAAATTTTTGACTTCGGGAATTATCTTTAAAAAAAAAACAGACTTTAATATACTATTTAATCCTTCTGAACACTGTCAATCAGTTTTCGTAATGCTGTGTATGATTCTTTCGCGAGAGATTGCATATCAACAATATTTCAGATGTGGCTGTTTATGATGAGTCATTGATTTTCATATCTTTCACGCAGCACTATCATAATTATTCTCTGTTAATTTAAGTGAACTAATAACCTCTCTTGCCTCATTTTTTAATAAAGATTGTAAGTAAGTAATAAAATTTTTGTATTTTGTTAACTTTTTGTGACTATGAACCAAGACCTGGAATGTCACGAAAAATGGCAGCCAATCAGAATATTTTTCCCCTGTAAATATTGGAAGTTCAATGGTGGGTAGTTTTATATTAATATATTCATCATTTTGTGAATTATTACCAATGTTTGAATGTGGAAGGTTGGGAAGTGTCGAAGATTGACCAATTGAAGGATTTATAACTTTTTTCGCTTGTGCTATGAGCTTGAAATAATTATTTTTAAATGTTACCCTTTCAGCAGATTGAGTAGTATCAATTAGTTCTATTTCGGTCTGTATGGCATCAAAATTGTCAGATATGGAATAGCATTTAGCCAAACGTTCACTGAGTTCAATCCTATCATCAGGATTACTTGATTTGAAAAATGTCTCAAAACGAGTCAATTGACCTTTCAATATTCTTCGCTGTGATATTAATCCTTTCAACTTAGCTTCTTGCTCAGCCATTATAAACAAATGTAGGCACTTTGAGAGAATACTAGTGTTCCACTGCCAAATATCACCTGAAAATGAGATGAAATAATAAACCAATAAAGCTTGCATGAATTAGCGAGCAAATCTTGAATATAATGAAACTGATGACTCACCACTGCTCTGTATATTGTCTGTTAGTTTGCTCTACCAAAATGCTTTTTTTTAAATAATGTTATACCCAAATTGGAGTCTATTTGTTATTCTGTTCAACTTCCTCCTGCCTGGCCATGGAGTTCTGCTTGTTGTTAATACCTGACTTCTTATTGGATGTTGGATCACCAGATCCGGTTATCGAAGAACCAAAATGGGGGAAGTCCTCGAAAATGCTAAGAATTTTCGTAAGGACGAATCCTGTTACGTACCTATTCCATAGTGCTGAAGTTTATATAATATAAGATTGATTGGAACCTTATCGAAAGCCTCCTCCAAGTCCAGGTATACGACGTCAATAGGTTGTCCCTCTTCATTCATCTTTGTCCATGTATCGAAGCATCTTTTAGGCATCTATGCTGTGAAGACGGAAGGATGTTGTTTTCCATTAGAAAATTTGTCAGTTGTATGGTTGTAGATTGTAGATTGCGGGGGAGTCGTTTCGGCTTTTTCAGCCGCTCAGCACTGCTACCTTTGCAGAAATTTTGTACATGACTCTACATCTCAAATTGTCTCCAGGAAGCGTAGACTTCTGCCGAAGGAAGCTATTTTCCTGGGTGTTAGTTGGCCCACTTCTTCTGGTGACAGTGTTGCCCCTCGAGGAATTTGAGCCTCTTGCAGAATTGGGCTGGACATTCGCAGAGCAGGTGCTCTGCGGTCTCTATTGCGTCTGAGCCCATTAACCTTAGTGTCCTGTGAGCAGTCCCACCACCAATCTGATGTCTGGTCTGCTCATGCTTAGGAGCTGTTCAGTTCTTTTTGCTGAAAGGGTAATAAACCTTTTAGACTGTCTGAGTCCCGGTGTGTGCCTCCAGTATGATGACAGTTGGTATTTCTCCCATTTATTGATTTCTTCCATGATGTGGCTTTTCATTAAGCCACAGTAGGGCTCTGGTCCATGGTATGGTGTTGAGGCCCCTTCCTTTGCGAGGCCATCTGCTTCTTCATTACCTTCCATATCTCGATGACCAGGCAGCCACATCAGCGTTACCTGGTTGTGTGTCGCTAGTGTTTTTAGGGTCTGTTTACACTCCCAGACTAGTTTTGACGTGCATTTGAAAGCCCTTAAGGCTTTTAAGGCAGCTTGGCTGTCCGATAGTATGAAAATGTGTTTTCTTTTGAGACTTTGGCTAAGACACTCTTGTGCACATATATCTATGGCAAGCAGTTCGGCTTGGAATATTGTAAGATGTTTACCCAATGCCTTGGAGAGCTTGAAGTTAGGGCCGGAGATGCCCAGTCCAGCTCCTTCCATTAGCTTGGATCCATCTGTGTACCACAGAGATGCATTGTCTGCTTGTGGCAATTCTTTATTCTCCCATGATTGGCGGTCGTTTATTACCACTGCGAATGGGATCTCTAAGTCCAATCTGACCATCATGTGGTCGCTTGGTTTGCTGGCATTCTCCAGTTTTATTAAATCAAGGATGCGCAGATGTCCCCTCAGATCACCAGGCTTGAACTTGTCTATTTGGAATAGCCTGTGAGCTGTGTATGGTTACAACTTTTTCCACGGATTTGCAAGTGTTGCACAAGTAAGTCTCATGGGACGATAATTTCTTGGATGAAGCTTGTCGCCTTTTTTATGAATTAGAATGATGTAGGCTTGTTTCCATTTTTCTGGTACTGTCTCACTACTCATCAGGTTGGTCATTGCGTGTGCAAGGGGCGAGCTGATAGATTTTGCACATTTTTAAAAAAATATGCTTAGAATGTTGTCGTTACCTGGACTAGAATCTTTCTTAAGGGCGAGAATTGACTCTTCGATGATGTGGGGGATAAACCAATAGTTGATAGGGTCGCATCGTTTCTTGGATAGGCAGGTAGTTTCGTCATGTAGTCCGGAGGTTCTTGAGTAAACACTATTTCAAAGTGATCCGCAAACACCTCTGCAGTACTTTTATTCATCCACATAACTTAATTTTTAAAAAAATAGGATTCAAGCGGCTGCAACATCAAAACTAACAGACGTAAAAGAAATGACATCAACCGGCCTACAATACGCCATCGAACAACATTCCCGCTTGGACGTGAACATTCTCCTTTATGCTCCTCTCATCATCGTACCTTACGGGGGTCGATTGGAAGAGATCCAAAGCGTTTTGGTTATAGATCTTGGTCAGATTAAATTATATTCTGACGGACACCGGTCCTCTATAATGGACGTACGTATAAATAATTATTGCCTTTATAGAAGCATATTAAACTATATTTCATTTTAAGGTTAGAAGATTGTATAGTGAAGGCTTGGACCAATCTGAGATCTTTGAGAGAATGAAAATACACAGTTACGACAAATTTAAACTGGAACTGACCGATTTACAAATTTTAGTGGCACAAGGCGAAGAAAATTGGGGAAAATATATCGATCCGGAATCCCCATCCGCTTTCACTGACATGCATTTACTGAGACCACTCAGCCTGAATGTTTCTTATTCTAAATGTCTTGTTACAGACGATCCCAGGTAACAATTCATTTTTCTATTATTCTTTAGAAAATTGACACTCCCTATTAGGTTGCCACACCAAAAAATTAACTGTGAACTGCCCAAAATCGACATTTCAGTAACAGACGCAAGACTTTTGCTACTGGTCAGCCTTCTGACCAGTATTCCTCTGCCTGTTTCAGAAGAAGAAGAAGCCTCAACCCTTGACTCATCGCATTCTATGAAGGTATATTGCAGAAAGAAATATCGATAAGACAAGCTTTGATATATTTAATTTGTTTTAGAGAACAAGACTTAATAGTTCAACTATGAGCTTGATAAAATGGCAAGATACCCAAATATCGAAAATAACAAAAAACATAAAGAAAGTACAAACTCAAGATATTGTACAGTTTCAACTTATGGAGGTATCTGTTGAACTTTCAGGTAATAATTTATATATGAACCAAGATTAAATTTATAACACTTCTTGCTTGTAGAAATTTCTTTGACCCTCAATCAGCAAGAGACCTTGACTTCGCCCATAAACGAAATGGTTGTAATGAAAGTGCATACTTTACAAGCTAATCTGCTTCAAAGAACATCTGATACCACTGTTAATGTAGGCTTGGGTGGTGTTCGATTAACCCAGAATAGAAATGATCAGACTATCGATATTATTAGTACGCCTGTAGCTAATGGAGAGGGACTTTTCACAGTTGCGTTTACACAGGTAAGAGTGTATGGGTAGATAATAGTGATTCATATTTCAATATAAAAACAATCATTCAGGTCGATCCCACTTCACCAGACTTCCACACAACTTTTCACTCCTGCGAAACCAGTTTGGGCGTCCATTTTAGCATGTTATATATTGTGCTGCATCAAGAAGGAATATTATCTTTAATATCGTTCGCTCAATACCTCATGGATACTGTAAATGAATTGCTGGCAGATAAAAATAAAACTATACATGGTGGGTGTAATTTTTAATTTAATTCGAATATTTCCTGATGTATACATTTTAGGTGAAGCAAGAAAACTCTCAAGAAGACTGTCCAATATAAGCGACATTAGCGAATTTAGTTTAAAAGGGCAAAGGAAAGTCAAGAAACAGCAACAAGTAGTAGTCGAAAGTATAAAGTTCAAGTTAATAGCTGATATTAAAGAAGTTATGGTTGAACTTACATCAGATGCGCTGGATATTTCTTCATTTGCCATCAGAGGAATGGAGGCAGATGTTTCTGTTAAAGCCACTTACACTCAAGTGAATGCAAAGTTACATGAATTGGCGGTTTTAGATTTGAATCCAGACACAAAACACAATTTGATTTTAACTACGGAGGATGAAAACGCTCTGACAGCCCAAATAGTTTTAAATAACCTGGAAGGCGAATCTTACAAGCCAGATATCGATGTAACAGTCAAAATGGGCGGTACAAAAATCGTATTTGTAAACTGGTTTGTCACCAATATTTTGGTAAGCAACATGTTTAAAATAACATTTTAACTAAAAAACATTATTTACAGAACTTCATAAATCCATTTCAAACAGCCCAACAAGCAGTTATAGAGGCTTCTGAAGCCGCAGCTATGAAAGCTAAAGAAAACGCTAAACAGATGTACGAAAAAGCTACAAAAATTGCTTTGGATATTCGATTGAGGGCTCCGAAAATATTTGTACCTGTAAGCAGTCAGAAAATGGACGCGATACTTTTGGATCTTGGTGTAATTTCTATAACTAACAAATTTTTGGTTATGGAGTATAAAAATGAGGTAACAATTGGTACATATTTATTTGTAGTGTTAAATTTATCTTTTTAGGAGGGATTTTCAGCAGTTGTTGACAACATGAAAATAACCCTAACAGATTTAAAACTATCAAAAATTGAATTAGATCATAAAGTGAACATAGTGGAAGAATGGTCCATACTTCAACCAATTAACTTTGAGGTGCATTGTAAAAGAAACCTTTCGGCTAGCTGGTATAAGGCAATACCAGATTTGAATATAAGTGGAAGAATTCAGCTCATCGACTTACATATTTCACAGGCGGATTATCATATGATTATGTCGATTTTGAGTGAAAATTTACAAGAAGGAAAGGTATTGATTTGTTTTAAAATAAATCACTTTATATTTATTTTTGAGTTTGCTTTTAGACTGAATTGGACAAGGATGTGAAAATTCGTAGAGCGCTATCAGCGCTATCAGTAGCTTCGCATTTTGGAGCAGCAGAAGCAATGGCAATAGTGGATTCTACAACGACAGTGGTTCCAGAGACAAAAGATAAAGTTACAATATTTTTAAAATTTACATTTACCATGGAGCAACTGATTGTAAATATGTACAGTGGTGGGTTTAAAAAGGTGATGAGAAAATTTAAAAATGATTTGATAATAATAAGCGATGATTTTAGAATAAAAAATCCACCCCGACTAAAAAAGCCGATAATCATTTGGGACGATTTTCACTTGAAGGTCTATCAGTCAAAGGCCGAATTTTATCGGATAATTCAATTGTAGCTGCTGTGTTACTAGTGAATTGTTTGTTAGATGATATGAGGAAGGGACGAGAAGATAAGCTCAATAGATTAATTGAAAGGTGAATTCAAGAGAAATCTATTTTTATTAAGTAATGGTCAAAAAAGCTACTTGTCGTTTCGCAAATCAACAGTTTATATAAATTTTCCATTTTTTTTTCAGAACCCTTAACGACGATGCAGTTCAGTCGTCAGACTCCACCGTGCCACCTCGAAGCATGATTGATGTTTCTTACCACCAAACTGGAACCGACATGTTTATCGATGTTCGCATTTTCAGCTTCACTCTGATTTTATCTGTAGAATATATGATGAAGATTGCTGAATTTTTCACTAATCCTCTTGAAAAACAAAGTACACAGTTAGAGCCAGTAAAAATTCCCATTAAAAGCACCACAACTATTAGTCAGTGCCTATATATTAATTGAAATACGCTTTTTAATTAAATTCAATTTTTAGGTTCTAGATCTGCCACTCGATTTAGTAAAACTACTCAAGTGACTCCAGATCAAGCTCAACCAAGTCAAATTACCCTCAATCTAAAAGTGGAAAGACCAGATATTATTTTAGTGGAAAACATGGACAGTATCGATACAAAGGCCATGGCTTTAAATAGCGAAATAATGATTAAATTGAGAATGCAGGGGCAACATCAAGTTATTAATGGGTTAATTACGGATTTGCAAGTGTACACTTGCAATTATAATCCTGCTACTAGAGCTGAAACAAAGGTAATAAGAATTCTTGTTTTTCTTTCATTGCGTATCACTAATGGATATTTGCGATAACATTTCTCATTGCTGCTCTATGCCTTGCGGAGTGTATTAGTGACTGCGAATCATGTAGCCCTGTCCACTGTCTGATATTTCGCAGCCAAGACATTTTCTTTTTTTCGATCCCTCTCCGGCCTTCGATTAACATGTGCAAAAATTGGTATTTCGTGTTTCGCATTATATGTCCCAGATAGACAGTTTTCCTCTTTTTAATCAATTCAAACAGTTCTCGTTGTTTGTTGACACGAATTACGTATCAACAACATGAAACCGTTTTCAAAAATAATTTTTATTACTAAAACAAAAATGTTTAAAAATACGGGTTAATAGTTATTTATACACCAAGTGAGTTAAATGAATGTTTATTCATGAGAAGAAAGTTTAACCCACGAGCCCTAGCGAGTGGGTTAATTTTCTTCGAATGAATAAACATTTTAACTCACGTGATTTATACAAAATTTTATCCCATTTTGGACATTTAAAAAGTAAGGAATCAAATTATAAAAAGAATTCATTTAGTAGTTATGAAAGCGCTAATTATTGAAATTGGTGGTTGCTAAGGTATAGCTAGTTGTTTGTTTGTATTTGTAGCAGATTTTTATACTGGCAGAGTGACTTAAAAGACCGAGAGTGAGTTAAAAATATTTTAAGTCACTCAGGTAATAAACGTCTACTTACCTTTGTCATTATGCGTTCAATAATGTCATTTTTAAACGTCAAAATGGGATAAAATACAATTATTACAATACGTTGTTAACAATAAGAAGGCGTAGCTGTGACTGATTATTGTGAGAGCGAAATAAGCTTAAATGAATATAATATGCTGCGTAAGCAAAAGTAGAATAAAATATAATATAGTAATATTGTCGTCAAGGGAGCATCATCTAACTCCTCCCCATAAAGATTCAACTACACGTGCTGAAGGGGTAGTTGAACATTGATTTCTTCGGTTTGGTCAACTGGTCGATTTTTCTTTGTTGTTGGGAATCTTCTTTGGACTAGCTTCTTGTGAACTAAATAACCTATAATAATGATTATTAGTTAATAGATTAGTATAGTCCAGATGTTTGGGATTGGCGTAATCTTGGAGAATGGCGTCAAGTCTGGTTGATTTTCCAGTATTTGGCTTGTTAATTTTTTATAATCGCTTCTTGGTTGTTCATATCGATGAGTTTACAATTTGTTGGAATTTCGGCAAAGATTAGGGACTATTATTATCCATTTGTTCGATAAGTCGATTTGGTAACTAATGAATTTAGAGATTTGGACTTCAATTTGTTAACAAGTGTGAAGGCGGTCATCGGCTTTCGGTAACTGAATCGCACATGGGTTTTCATCAGCTGAGATGTCTACTAAGTCCATTTTGTCACAGATGTGGTAACTTTCTTGGATTTCTTGTTCGGTGGTTCGGTATGCGAAGTGCAATTTATTTTTGATTGAAAACTTGTTTTTTGAAACTATTGTCTTGAATTTTTCTTGCTTATAAATCGGTACTGAATATAAATGATAATAGTCAAAGTAACTCTGATAGGTAATTGGAATTTGAATTAGGAAGGTTATTCTATTATTTGAAATAAAACTTTTTACTTTAATTACCTTTTCATATAACAATGTATTAGCTAAAGTAACGTCTATCGGCATGATTTTTGCATTAACCAATTTTCGTATTTTTTGCAACTCAAAATAAAGACTTTCGGTTTTCATTATACTTGTGTGTAATATTTTGAGTTTGGAGAAAGTAATTGCATTTTCAATATCTTGTAGTATTGAATCGATAGTTTCGTACAAATTTATTATTTGAGTAAGGGTGTCTTTAATATAATTTGCATTTTCTCTAAAGGTTCCTTTTTGCACAATAAGACCTTCCTCATTTTCCTTACTAGTCCAGGGCATTTATTTGGAATATGGAAAAAAATCACCTAAAGCTAAAAGTTGCGGTTTTCTGTCACATCATTTGCTATTCTATTTAACATACTAAAAGTCCCCAGCTCTCCACTTGGCGAACATCCCCAAACCACCCCTAAAAGTGAGTTTTGTTTGTTTTTTACCAATAGCTCGCTAGCGCCTAGCGGTCCATTTTTTTTAGAAATTTTCAGAAAATAAAATTTCAAATTGATATATTACATGATCTCAGTGTATCCAGTGGCGTACAAGCGTGTGAGCAAGACCTGAAGTCACCCGATAACTAATTATTTTTATGATCAACTACATTAATTAAATGCATAGAAGCGATATTAAAATTCTGACTTGCAGTGCTAAGACAATAAAATATATTAGTTTTCATTGTTAAACGCTTCATTTATTCATATAAAACAGAATAGAGAAGAATTTACTTAAAATTAAACAAATAAGGATGCTTGAAAATAACTGAGAAATTAAGTATCTATTTCATCAAACAGGTCTTCATGATCTACATACTCTTGGAATATATTGCTGCAAGAGTTTTCCTGACATTGAGCAATTCAGACCTGATTTTTTGCAGCTACAGAGTTTTCAACAGTTCGTTTTGCAATTGCAATATATCATTTTGATAATAAATTAAGTAGCCACTGGTTTATCTGCTGTTACACGCAAAAGACATTCGCCATACTTTTTCCAACCCCAAGTTGTTAGAGGTAATGAATTGCCAACCAATCTTCTACTTGCAGATAGACCCGCATACTGTGGTGAGCTGCAGCATCTGGCGTAGGTGGTAAACATGCTAATTCAAAATGTTTATTTAAACTTTGTCTTGCTGTGCTATTAAAAAATTTAACAAACCAAAGATCATCTAAGGTTTTAACTGCTTTGCCAGCACCATAGAGAACCAATAAAAATTGTTCACCAACAGTTGTTACATCACGTTTGTCCACTTTGGGATCCAAAAATACCATCACTTTATGATTTCAGCCCGATTGCTTTTCAGGTACCCTGTAGGTAGACCAATAACTCAAGCAGAGCAGATTTTTTTTGTTTTCTGAAGCATTCCATTATCAGAAAGAGATAATGGGTAAGCAGTCAACTCATAGGAGAAGCATTTCTTAAGTTCTTCTTGTATCTTATAAGTACATATGATTCTATTAAAAAGTTGACTCGCATTCACTGGAGAAATCCGATTATATAATTTCACGGTTTTGTTTAAAAATGCAAAATTTATCACCTTGCTCAACCTTTTAAGTTTGACATCATTAAAGTTATGCCCCACGAGACTAGATATTATTTGTTCTCCAGTTTCCTGGGCTCCATCACAATTTATTTCTTTTGTTGTAACCACTTCTGTAGATAGGCCACCAGTTCGGATGTGTCTCTTCCAAAAGGTAAATTGGTATTCAGCCAAGTCAGCAACTTCTCAACATCATTCATGTCTCGCTTTTCTCTTGATCCGCGTAGCTCAACAAGTTGCTCGGAGTAAATCAGTTTGTATTGGGCAGAATCTCAATAGCGTCAGATACTTTTGAACATGCAGGCAGAATTTTCATATTCATCAGGTCGTTGATCAGGTTTCATTCGTACAGAAAGTTGTAAGTTTGTGGTTTGTTGGCACATGGTAAATGACCGGTAGAGTGCAAAATTGGTATCATCATAGAGCGAATACAGTAGAGATGTAAAAAATCTCCTGACCTTTCTTCCCAAATAAACATTTTCACAACACAATTTTTTCGGAAAAAACACAATTCTTGGAGGGTTCCGCCAAGTACCCCAAGACAGTTATAATTTTATTGGGAACAAAATAACATAAAGCTGCGACTAGTCTAAATCGATAGGATTTATGGTCCTGATGAACATACTAAAAGTCCCCAGACCTCCCCCTAGGGGAACATTGTCAAAATGGCGCCGCCATCTTGGATTTTTGACATTTTTTGCTTAATTTACGTTTTACTTGAAAACTACTCATTTTTCGAGAAAATATGAAGAGGAATAAATTGGAGAGCACAAAAAAACCTTTAAAAATAGTTATTTTCGAACTTCCTGGGTAATACCCTTACTGAGATACGAGCCGAAGAAGTACCGCCGAAATACCGCTTTCCACATGCAAGCTAATATAACTTGAATTTTGTTGCGTTTTGTAGGAAATCTGATATAAATCCATTTGAAACGCTTAGGATAGTTTCTCCGTTACACTTTTATGAAATTTTTTGTTTTATACAACAAATTCGATCAACGAAACATAATACGGTGTGTCTAGAATCCCGGTACCGGTAACACATTTTTTACCGGTAGTTTTGATGCTACCCGGGATTCAAGCAAATCCCGGTAAAAAATGCAATCGGTGGCGGTTTCTGTTTTATCAAAGTCCAACTTAACCTAACTTTTCATATTTTTAACTTGTTTTGTTGACGTGTGAACGTAAAGTGGAGTGTTTTCGTGAGTTTATTAACGTGAAATTACTTTTAAAATCATTTTTATTGTAGGACAAACATTTAAAAGTTATAAAGAAGTTGAAGAGACTTTGACATGTGAAATGTGCCAATTTGTGTAAAATACCTACCCAAAATGTGGTATTGTTCTGATTGCAAACTTATAAATAGAAAATGAGAGATATTTATTTTAATTTACATTCTGAACAGTATAGTTACATAATATAATATTGACTTGACTTGAAGTAAATTAATATAGTAGATTATACCACGAGTCAATAATGATAGCTATTATTCCCGAGGATTATTACGAACTGAGCCGCGTTAGCGGCGAGGGAGTAACATTCCGAGGGAATAATAGCCATTATTGCGAGTAGTATACTCTACTTTATTTACGACAAATTAATTTATTTGAGATTTTCAATGAACAAATTTCAGCCATCTCATAATTTTCAATACAATCCACAAGCACTACACGTTTGACACTGACACTTTTGTGGAATAATGACCATTAATCCCGCTACTCGTCATTAATCCCTGGAGGAATAACATATGTCATTATACTGCCAAAATCACAAATATAATACGCACATTATACATTAGTCGTAAATAAAATATTAA